TGCTACACAATTTTATGTTACATAACCACAGCCCGAACAATTTGCAAGGTAGAGGCAGAGAGAAATTAAGAGACTTAGACGAGAGAAGCAGCATTTTGGCTCTTACTGGAGATACATTTATTAAGGAGCTCTTGGTGTGAGCACTTTGTAAATAAAAGAAGGGCTAACGTTATAACACTATCATGATGATGTATGTGTACAGCCACTTCACACGAGTTAATCAAATTTCTAACATAGGTACTTGCTGTAAAGAAACCTGTATGAATCATGCCTTTTTGTGCCCTGGGTTTTATTCTATTGATGATGTAATTTCTTATGCAACGTGAGCATTCTATGTCAGAAGAGCTTTCTTATTTCCCCTGCCTTATTTGTCACTTTAATTTGTGATTTCCAGGATTTCTATCCTTGCAGTGAGTGGTGGTTTGGGGGTTATGAAAAGATTATAATGGTGACCATGTTTTTTCTTCATACAAATGAGATAGCTATAGTCTATACCAGTGGTTAGTTACTCCACTGTAAAAACTGGCACTTTATTTCCAATCTGAATTTGTCCAGCTTCAGTTTCCAGACATTGGATTTTGTTCAACTTTTGTCTGCTAAAAAACTCTCTACTTCAATGCCTTTTCCCCACAACTAATCAAGTTGTGTCTTTTCTCTTGGAAAAAGTAAACTAATTAATCTTATAGGCTACGTCTAGACTGGCATGATTTTCCACAAATGCTTTTAACGGAAAAGTTTTCCGTTAAAGAGTGTCTAGATTGGCACGGACGCTTTTCCGCAAAAGCACTTTTTGTGGAAAAGCGTCCGTGCCAATCTAGACGCGGTTTTGCGCAAGTCTTCTCATTACCAATGACACCAGTAATCTGTATATATAATATAGCAATATTATAGCATAATATTTCAATATAAATGTATCATTGCAGTTTATGCATTATGCAATCTAGGTTTGTATGGTGATAGGCAGATGAAAAAGAAGATACAGGCCTTGCTCAAAGTACGTAACAGTTGTAACTCTACCTGTAAAGAGATTTTCAAATTGAATAGCTAGACATTATGGCTGTGTCTAGACTGGCAAGTTTTTCCGCAAAAGCACGTGCTTTTGCGGAAAAACTTGCCAGTCTAGACACAGCCATAATGTCTAGCTATTCAATTTGAAAATCTCTTTACAGGTAGAGTTACAACTGTTACGTACTTTGAGCAAGGCCTGTATCTTCTTTTTCATCTGCCTATCACCATACAAACCTAGATTGCATAATGCATAAACTGCAATGATACATTTATATTGAAATATTATGCTATAATATTGCTATATTATATATACAGATTACTGGTGTCATTGGTAATGAGAAGATAAAAAGACACATTCCTTGCTCCTAGACTCTTACTAGCTACATATACATACCACGTGCTGCCAATAAATGCTAGTTTCACTCTACCTCCAAAAAACCAACGAGGAATATCAGAACTTTTATCCTTGAATGAATGTTCCTAAACTGGTTCCAGAATAAGTCTTTAAATGTATCCTTAATTTCCCCATGCCTGGAGAACAATATTGTCTGACTTCTTGTCCAGTAATGAAATAGCGTTTCGTTATGGTTGTCCTGAAAACTGAGTTTTCTGATAATCCATTGATACCAGAGAGATTAGGATAGAGGCCCCAATATTCTTATTTCATCCTAGTGGTGATCACTTGCTAAGCGTTTTGTTGTTCTTTTATGAGCGACAGAACTTTTTTATGCTCTCTTTCCATGTATGCACAGTATTGTGCGGGTTTCCTGTTTTTCTCCTTTTGCTATGCACACTATGCTCAAGTTCCTTTTTTTTAGGTCCAAAATAACCCTCCAGAGAAAGTCAAGCCAAAAAGAGTAAAGGTGCCATATGAAAAAAAAAGTCTTATTTCCTGACTCGAGAGAGAGATTTATGTGGAATTACAATTTACTTTAAATTCCAAGAGACTAGTTCAGGAATCTTCAAGGGCTTCTGTTTTGACAGGGATATTTGAACTTGGATCGCCTAACTGGCACCTATTTCCATTTCCAATGGGTAAAGTGCGTGAGTGTGGAGCCTAGCAATGTGACCAAATGTGTCCTGAACCGTTGTGCAGGGATTGCTAACTGGATTACAAAGATTAGAAATGGCCTTCTTTACGGTGCCCAAGGGAGGGGCCTGGCTCCTTTCCTGTTTACTCCATCCCTTCTCACTTTCTCTTTGCTCTGCTCTTTCCCCCCAGCTCAGCAGTGGGAACATGTCCCATGAAATCTGAATCTGTGAAGCTTGTTGCAGGCTGAAGAGAACAACAGATGGACACTACGAGGTGTGCCTAGGCCCCGATTCCGGCTCACCATTCAGGTACAAGGCAACTCTGGGTGCTGATGCATTTTGCTGATTTCTCTGTCAGACAAAGCTAATCACATGCACAGTCTTAGGCATAGTGATGGTGACATTGGGATAAACTATACGAGCCTGCTGCCGAGTCCTTCTAGTGAAGAGCAGGCCTCTGGGCAATCAGACAAGCCTTTTCCTCATTCAGATTATGCTTTCTCTGAGGGAAGAGTGCACATGGGAAACCTCTGCAACTGCATTAATGATGCATAAGAATTGTATCCACACTGTTGATCTCCTTCCCACAAAGTAGGTATACATTGAGGGGATGCCAGCTACCCATTGTGCCATTGCACAGGCAGGTTTAAAGCCCTGTTGCCCATCCGCCTCCTTTTCATTTATAGTAGCACACTGCATGGTATTCAGCCAGTGCAAGGATGTTTGGCCCCTCCAGTGTTTCTAGATGAGCAAGCACTGGGTTGATGAGATCTCCAGCAAGTGGCTCCTCTCTGAAAAAAGTGCAAGTTTGTGCAATCACGGAAACCTGCAAACTGTCTCAGTGCTGCAGGAAATGATTCTGCAAAGCAACACCCAGAGGCTTTGTCCAGTGCTTCTGGGAACAAGTAGTAAGGGGGGGAGAAGGCTCACTCAAAGACACTCCGGTAGGCCTGCAAGTTCTCTGCTGGACCCCACTTTGGTCCAAATCAGATTTGTCTTAGTGAGTGTAATCCTGATGTCAGTGAGAAACTTTGTGAAGCTGCAGCAAGCCTTGCTGGAACTGCCTGCTCCTTGGCAGTATTAGCAGGTGACAGACACAGTGTCAGAGTCAGAAATGCGCGTTAGGCAAAACTACAGCCTCTCCTTTCTGTTCACTCACATTACTATAGAACATTTGCCTTTCTGCTCCAAAACGTCCCTTCCACCATGTGGACTACAAACCAAGGCTAACATTTTTGCAGGGGCTGGGCCGGGCCGGGCCTACATGGCTGCTTATTAAACCAGTCTTTTCAATGTTAAAATCTCCCTTTCTGTACAATACCCAACCCCATGCACTGCGAACATGGCAGCCGCTGAGGGGTTTGGAGGGCGGGGCGGCCGTGCCCCATCACACTGGGATTAAAAGATGTTGCTTCCAAGAAGGTCAGAGCTAGAGGTGCAGGGGCTGGGCCGGGCCGGGCCTACATGGCTGCTTATTAAACCAGTCTTTTCAATGTTAAAATCTCCCTTTCTGTACAATACCCAACCCCATGCACTGCGAACATGGCAGCCGCTGAGGGGTTTGGAGGGCGGGGCGGCCGTGCCCCATCACACTGGGATTAAAAGATGTTGCTTCCAAGAAGGTCAGAGCTAGAGGGAAAGAAAGCAACCTGCAGCAAAGGGGGGGAAAATGCACAGAAAAAAATCATAAGTTATTTAGTCCCTAGAAAGTTGAGCATGGCATATAGGGGATAGGATACTCTTCTGGAGAGTGTGCTGGTAGATCTAATTAACAGGGGACACGCTGCGTAGGATGTGTGGGGCCACTGCTGCACAGGGAGTGGAGAAGCTGCTGTAGTTATTCAGAGATTAGACCCAGGCCTGTGAGATTCTGTAGTGCTGCTGTTGTTTCCAGCCTTAGCCTACCATTGGTTTTGTCACATTTGGACCACAGTAAGGCTATGGACCCAGTAATGTCTAAACTGAATTGCTTTTTTGGGATACCGGAAGTATCCTGAAAAAACAACGCTGTGTCCAAGGATCGTGTCCACTTTTTTGAATTTTTTTTCAAAAGAATGGACACGCTCTTTTGCCATCTCTGTTATCCACATTCTACGAGGAATAAGGGATGGCTTGAAAGAGCACTTTCTTTCGCAATGTAGACGTGCCAAATTTCAAAAGAGACTCTTTCGAAAATAAATCGAAAAAAAGATATGCAATTTGCTTACTGCTAATGTAATTTCTTTTTCCGATTTAACAGTGCAGTCTAGACGTAGTTTAAGAGATGAAGGTCAATTAAGAAAGAGAGAGAGAGAAAAAAATTGTTCTTTCTAAAAGCAATGCTTCAGGCATTCGACCAGTTTAAAAAAACATACGAGCATTAATAAAAAATAACAAAGCATTACAGAGATTGTTCCCTCAGAAAACCTTCCCAGCCCTTGAAAATGACTCCCCCAACTCTCCCAGGACTCACTCCATAACTCCTCTCATATTGTACTGCAAACTTTACAGTTAACACACCACCAAAAAAGCTTTTTAAAACATCCCCACAAGCCATATTTTTAAAAAGCCTAGCAGGACATTATGTAATCCCTGGGGTAGTACAACATTAAGCAGTGAGAAATTGTGGGCCATGCCTATCTGCATTTCTTCTCATGACCCTTCAGCTCTCGTTTTTCTACACAGTTCCTTGATTCCCCACATTGCCCTCTTGTATTGTCAGGGCTGCCTTGGTACACTGTGTGCTCCTCTGTGATACAGCTCAACTACCAGGCACTGTTGGAATTGTCCAGGAGACAAAAAGGTGAGACAGCATTTCACATCGCTGTAACATTAGGTTTGGATAGTTATATTATGATCAGCTCTACAGCTGTGTGGCAGAAGGCAGTATTCTTCTTCGGGTAGTGTCCCCATGGGTGCTTCACTGTGGGTGTCAGGTCCCATCCCGGCACTGCAGATCGGAGATCTTCTAGCTGTTGTTTGCCAGACTGTGCATGCGCAGTGGCCATCTTGCGGCTTTTCGCGCCATTTCTAGTCGCGCGGTCCGGCCCGCCAGTTCTCTTAACCATCTTCAGGTACAGACGGAGAAACAGCTCCCTCTCCTGTAGTTTGCTTTACCTGAGAGGAGTAAATCTGTTTTAGTGTAAATAGTTCATAGTTTAGTATCTTAGTTAGTTATATATATAGATAGATTATTGTTAATAAGTAAAAATAAATAAATACATAAATAAATACTTTTTCTCTCCATAGTTAGTTAGTTAATTTTTACTACAATGCCTGGCTCCCCAGGATTCAAGAGGTGCGTGCTTTGTAAAGACTCCATGCCTGCTTCAGACGGGCATTCGGCGTGCATAAAATGTCTCGGTGAGGGGCACATTCCACAGAAGTTCCCTCACTGTTCAAAGCTAATGGCCAGGGCTCACAGAGACCGCGAAATGCATCTCAAAATGCTTCTTGTTGATAAAGCCCTCACACTGCAGTCAGACCCTCTGGTGGAGGCATCTCGTCATGTCCTAACTAAGGCGGCTTACAAGAAGCCTCCCTCTCCATCCCGCAAGAACCCTGCAAGAACCCACAGAGCATCCACATGGCCTGCCTGCTCTTGCGCAAGGAAATTTATAGTACTGTGTGGTAAGAGAGGGTGTCTTGCACAAGGGGTACGCTCTTTTCTAACAGGTGTAAGCTCTTGCGCAAGAGGGCAGTGTGGATGCTCAACGAGGATTTCTTGCGCAAGAAACCCCTATGGCTAAAATGGCCATCGGAGCTTTCTTGGGAAAGAGAGCATCCACACTGCCATGGATGCTCTTGCACAAAAGCACAGCTCACACATGGCAGTGTGGATGTGTTCTTGCCACAGTACTGAGTTCATGTGGCTTATTTGGATGTGCCACTGTGGCACCCAAGTTATTAATAAATATTTTTAAACCTCTACCTTTTCCCTCTGCTGCCATGTCTCCTCCCTTTGCTTCATCATCTCCCCAAGTGCCTGCTGCCCCCCAACCCCTCCCCCTCCTCTGCTGTCCTGACTCCTGCCCTTCTCGCTGCCTTCAGCCCTATGTGTTCACTTTTTTGATTGTATCCTTTGGTATATATGGTTGTGACAATTTTCTTCCACAATTTGATCTGAGGAAGTGGGTCTGGCCCACGAAAGCTCATCACCTAATAAACCATCTTGTTAGTCTTTAAAGTGCTACATAGTCCTGTTTTTTGTTTCAGCTACACCAGACTAACACGGCTACATTTCTATCACCAGCTACAAAGAGATTCCTAAAAGGAATTACCAGGCCTCGCCAGGTGGCAGCGAGCCCTGCTCGCCAGCCGCATGGTTTCGTGCAGTTCTGCACTTTGCTTATGCGCAGATCGCCCCACGCCGGCTCTTCCAGGTTGTAATCTACTCGCCACGGGTGAGTAGATTACATTATTTGTTGAGTCCTGGGAATTACTAACCTCTTCCCTGAATACAAGCGACCTCTGGACTCTTGGAATTTAGAGCTTGTCTTAGATACACTAACGCATCCACCATTTGAACCATTAGCTACATGTGATTTGAATACGCTCGCCATGAAAGTCATATTCCTTTTGGCTATTACCTCCACCAAAAGGGTGGAGGAGTTGGCAGCTCTATTGGCCAAGCCCCCGTATACCATTTGCACTCCTCAGGCGGTTATCCTTTGTCCCCAGCCATCCTTCCTGCCAAAAGTTAATTCCGCCTTCCATATAAATGAACCCATTATATTACCGGTTTTCTATCCAAAACCCCACACCTCGGAACCTCAGGCACGGTTACATTCCCTCGACGTACCTAGGGCCCTTGCTTTTTACATTGACAGAACTCGAGAAGCAAGGAATTCTCAGCACTTGTTCATCTCCATGAACGCTCATTCTAAGGGTTCCCCGCTTTCATCACAGCGAATCACAAAAATAATTATTTCCTGCATAACCCGATGCTACGAACTGCGAACAGCCGCAAGATGGCCGCCGCGCATGCGCGGTCCGACAAACAACAGCTAGAAGATCTCTGATCTGCGGCACTGGGATGGGACCCGACACCCGCAGTGGAGCACCCACGGGGACACACACCTTGAAGAACCATTGTTACTGCACAAGGTGAGTAACTACTTCTTCCATTGTGTTCCCTGTGATAACCAAGGTGTTCCATTTTAGTGCCCCAATGGGAGGAAATATTAAACATTATCTCCTGAGTTAGAACTATAAGTAACCCAGATAATTCCTGTTCATCCAACATCTTCTTGAAAACTGCATGGAGACAAACATAACTACAGCAAGTATTTCCTCTAGCAGTGGCAGGCACACTCTATTGGCCTTGAACTTTTCATGCTTGCCAACGGAGGCTACGTCATGGTTTAACTCTGTAAATTATAATCACATTATAGAAGTCAGGTGCATCATGAAATGTGCTTCTGGAAGGTACTCAGAAACCGTAGCGATGGCAGTGGTATAAGAACCTCAAGAGAAAAGAATAGCATAAAAGGACCTTCTTATTTCACATAGCAAGGGATAGCTGAACTGGAACAATCACAAAGGGGATAATTTGCTGTTTTAAGACCCTAAGATAGAAATCATAGCAGGAAAATAGAATTTATCTCCTCACTTGCCTTCCTAGAACCTTCATAGGTCATCTCTGGTCCAACTCGTGCAGCCAATCATACACTGGACCTAATCTCTGATCTAGAGGTCAGAATCAAGGACCACACAACACAGTCACTGTCTTTGGCAGATTCATCACCTCGTTAAGGCAGTAGTCAGAGATTTTCCTGCTCTGGCCTTACATGTATGGAACAGCTTCTATGGAAGACTATTTTGTTATGAACGGTGTAGAGAAAGTAAAGAAAGTTATTTACCGCTTCTCGTGACTTAAAAACCAGGGGTCACATCTTGAAATTAATACACAGTAGGTTTAAAACAAACATAAAGACGTACTTCTTCACACAACACAAAATCAATCTGGGTTCAAAAAAAGAATCAGATATGTTCATTGAGGACAGACTGATCAATGCCAATTAACCAGGATGCACAGGGACACAACTTTGTGCAGTGTGACAGTGGCTAACCCTGACGAACTGTGTGGGGCCAGTGTGCTGGAGGTTCCCCACCCCTGCTCTCTAGCAAGGCTAAAGCTTATTTGTCTGAGACACAAAACTTGCTTGGGGGATGGTCTGTCATTGAAATGAACTCCTCCTGGAACTAACAACCATCCTCCTCCAAATGGAAGGCACATTTCTTTGACCTTGCATTCCCTAATATAGCAGTGTGTGCACATGTGTATTTAACTACCAAAACAAGACACTCCACACGCTTTATCCCCTGGGGAGAGGATGAGAGAACAACCAATGTGTGACAGATGTTAGTCACATTGCTTAATACACGGCTGGACAGCGTTCAGCTACTGCAGTGATGATAATGATGTAAGCATAGAATGGACTCCAATATTTAATAATTGTTATTATTTGAATTGTGGTAACCTCATAGAAAAGGAACATAACAGGATCTTAAAACTTTGCAGCATATCACAATGAGTTCCATGTTGGACCCTAGTTTCTCAATGCATCCTGACTAAGGGAAGGTCAACACTGCAGTGCTATTTCAGGATACCAGAGGTATCCCAAAATAGCTATTCTGCGTCTTAACAATGTCCCCATTATTTCTAAATATAACGGGCTTGCTATTCCGACGTTCCTGTAAACCTCATTCCAGTAGTTCTATAGACAGTGCCAAATTACGAGATAAGCTATTTTGAAATGGACTCAAAATAAGCTACACAACTTGCATAGCCTAAATTGCATAGCTTATTTCAAGCTACAGGTGCAGTGTAGATGCGCCCTGAGGGTCCTGTTGTTAACTCCGTAAGTGAGACAACAAAATCTATATTTACCCCACATTGCAAGGAGTGCTCTGTGGGACTGTCTTCCCTTGGCATTCAAATGAGGGCCCTATTTATTACACTTACTAAGGGAAGGTTAACAAGTGACTTCATCATAACTTGTATATATCTATGCAGGGAGAAGTTATCTGACAGTAAAGGGCTCTTTGGTAGATGTAGGGCTGGTAGCTAACACAGGAACAACTTACCAAATGTAGCCAGGATGCCTTGGTTCTTATCAATTCTTCTCTGTCTCATCACTGGGTGATGTAAGGAGAGGCTCTCTCCCCAGAGCGCTCAGCCCCTGCCTTGTAATTAATCCAAACACAGATTGTCATCATGGGACTTTTGAAAATAACAGCACTGAAATGAAGGTCATTCTTATGACCCATCATGAAACTATGCAGTAATATAATGAGAGGTTAGTCTAAAGGGCTGACCCCAGGACAGGGAGTCACGGTATTCTCATGCTAATCCCCATTCTGACTTACTGTCTGAGATCCCCTCGCCTTGCTTTGCTTCAGTTTCTGCAGCTTACACAATGGATAAGAATAGTGACTGGAAGATAGCTAACATGACACCAATATTTAAAAAGAGCTCCAGAGGTGATCCTGGAAAATACAAACTGGTAGGTCTAATGTCAGTACCAGGCAAATTATTTGAAACTATAGTAAAGAATAAAATTATCAGACACATAGATGAACATAATTTGATGGGGGAAAGTCAGCATGGATTCTGTAAAGGAAAATCATGATTTATTAATCTACTGGAGTTATTTGAGGATATTAACAAGCACGTGGACAAGGGGGATCCACTGGATACTGTGTACTTAGATTTCCAGAAAGCCTTTGACAAGGTCCCTACCCAAAGGCTCTTAAGTAAAATAAGGCTAAGAGAGGATGTCCTCTCATGGATTGATAACTGGTTAAAAGACAGAAAACAAAGGATAGGAATAAATAGTCAGTTTTCAGATTGAAGAGAGGTAACTAGTGGTGTCCCCCAAGGGTCCATCCTGGAACGAGTCCTATTTAACCTGTTTATAAATGATTTGGAGAAAGGAGTAAACAATGAGGTGGCAAAATTTGCAGATGATACTAAACTGCTCAAGATAGTCAAGATGAAAGCAGAGTGTGAAGAGCTTCAAAAGGATCTCACCAAACTAAGTGAGTGGGCAACAAAATGGCAAATGAAATTTAATATTGATAAATGTAAAGTAATGAACATTGGAAAAAATAATCCCATCTATACATACAGTATGGTGGGGACTAATTTAGCTATTACCACTTGAAAGAGATCTTGGAGACATTGTAGCTAGTTCTCTGAAAACAGCCATTCAAGTGCAGCAGAAGTCAAAAAAGCAAACAGACTATTAGCAATAATTAAAAAAGGGATAGAGAATAAGACAGAGACTATCTTATTGCCTTTATATAAATTCATGGTAAGCCCACATCTTGAATACAGTGTATAGATTTGGTCATCTCATCTCAAAAAAGATCTATTGGCATTGGAAAAGGTTCAGAGACGGGCAACAAAATTATTAGGGGTTTGGAATGAATGCCATATGAAGAGAGATTAAAAAGAATGGTAATTTTCATCTTATAAAAGAGGAGACTAAAGAGAGATACAATAGAGGTCTATAAAATCATGACAGGTATGGAGAATGTGAAGAAGGAAAAATTATTTACTGGTTCCCATAACATAAGAACTAGGGGTCTACAAATGAAATTAATGGGTAGCAGGTTTAATACAAACAAAAGAAAGTTTTTCTTCATGTAGTGCGCAGTCAGCCTGTGGAACTCCAAGTATGTTGTGAAGACCAGGACTTTAACAGGGTTCAAAAAAGAACTAGATAAATTCATGGAGGTTAGGTCCATCAATAGCTATTAGACAGGATGGGTAGGAATGCTGTCTTTATCCTCTGTTTGTCAGAGGCTGGAAATGGATGACAGGAGAGGGATCACTTGATGATTACCTGTTCTGTTCATTCTCTCTGGGGCATTTGGCATTGGTCACTATCAGAAGACAGGATACTGAGTTAGATGGACCTTTGGTCTGACCTAGTATGGTGCTTCTTATGTTCTTATGTAAGAGACTTGACCCCCTTGGCCCTCTGTGAGGTATCAGTGAAAGTTTGTAAAGCTGGTCTGCTAATGGAAATGGTGCATAACGCAAATGGTTAAGCACTGAAATAACCTGCCTAGGGAGTTTGTGGAATCTCCATCAATGGAGATATTTAAGAGCTGGTTAGATAAACATCTGTCAGGGATGATCTAAATCAGGGCTACTCAATATGTGTCCCGTGGGCCACATGCGGCCCACGGCCTCTTTGTTTGCAGCCCACGGTGCAGTTTGGATTTACACGGGGCTTAACACACAGCCCATGGGTGGGAGCCATAACAAAAAATTAAGTCAATATCATGGTCTTCTGTTGAGATGCATTTTAGTAGTTAAATTCCTGGACTGTCATTGCTTATTAAAAGTGCTGTCATATGGGTGGAAATCGGGTAATTATTGCATTTTATTAATATCAGCAGAACTGACTTACATGGGGTCTGTGTGTTGTGTCGTCTTGCCTTAATCTTTGCATTCATGCCCATCAGTGTGAGAGAAGCTATTCACATAGATATTTGCATGTACATGCAACCACACTTATGTTGCAGCCCTTAGCATGTGCCGTATCATTGTGGCCCCCGGGGCTTCCAAAGTTGAGTAGCCCTGATCTAGATGATGTTTGCTTATGACATGAGGGCAGGGCACTGGGCTTGATGTCCTTTCACAGTCTCTTCCAGTTCTAGTATTCTAGGGTTCTATGTTCAGGATCATAAGCTAAAGTGATACTCATATGTCTGCCCACAAGTCCATCCCTGCTGGTTCTGTGCTCAGTTTCAGGATCTAGAGTGAAGCATGCACATCCATCCTGTTCCCATTCCATGCTCAGTACTACAATCTCAAGTGATGCTTTCATGTCCACTTCCTACCCATTTCTTGCTATGTCATGATCTAGAGCGTGGTCACACGTTGACTCCTTGCTGCTCCTTGCTCAGTGTCACAGTTTAGAGTGATGCTGGCATGTCTGTCCCCTGCCCAGTCTGTGCACGGTCATGAGCTGAAGTCATGCACACATTTCCATTCCCTGCTCAGTGTCCTGAGCTTGACTGATACTTTGTATGCCCCACCCTGTCCAATAAATGGCAGGAATCATAATTTATGAGCCCCTAGCTGAAGTTTCTGATGTTATGCAGCATCACAGGTATTTCCAGGCTCCCACAAGCATAGGTGGGGTATTCCTAGAAGCACAGAGGCCTCAGAATCCCAAGCTGCACTCTGGGTGGGACATGCCATTGCTGGTTCCTGATGTGAGAATTAAGCCATGTAGGAAAGGGACACTGTTCCACAGGGCAATGGAAAAAAGAAAGTGACTAAATTCAAAGCGTATGTCTCAGTGTTGAGGAAGTTTACTAGACAGGTTTAAATCTCCACATTTCTGTGGTCCTTCAAAAATGCAGTGAGGCTGGAATGTGTAATGGGAATACTCAGTGGTGAAATGTGCGGCATATTTTCTTTGTTGTAGCTGAGCTGGGGAGTAGAGCCAGGCCAGCCTGACACAGACCCATGCTGGGAGCAGGGCTGTAGCCACAGGGCCAGAGGGACTGAGAAACCGCCCAGGAGCTGGAGGCAGCACAGCAGACTGTGGAGCTGAGAAGCAGGGCAAAGCAGGTGGGACCCTGGATAGAGGCCCAGCATAGAGTGACACCCATGCCAAGAGGCCTGGGGAGAAGGGTCCTGCCACCCAGAGCAAGTGTCTCACCTGCAGCACCCCTGCAGCAGGCAGGGTCTGAGAAAGAGGCCTTGGACCTATGAGGAACAGACTGTGAACTAGGGATGTGACCAGGTAACCGGTTATCCAATTACCCAGTGAGCGTCACTCTTAGTGGGTGGTGTTTACCAGATAATGGTCAACCGGTACCCAAGAGCAGACCCCCCTTCTCCACTCGACCAGGCCCCTGCACAGGGCCAGAAGCAGCAGCCTCCCGCAGGGATGGCAGAGCCCCCCCTGCTGCTCCCCCGGGTTAGAGCAGCCCTCCACCTACCCCTTTTTTAATCAGTTAACCAATTAAACATTACGTTTAGTCAGTTTACCAATTAAATGGGATTTTACATTCTTACTGCATGCCCCTCCCACATCCGGGACTGCACCAGACCTGAGCCTCCCACCTCCAGGCATCCTTTAGAGACGGGATGGGGGTGGTAGCCCCTTCCCCCTGATTGATAGGGGAACATTGCTGGCTGTTCCCCTTTGTCCAAGAGCGAGGGGAAAGTGTACAGTTTGCTGCATTCCTCACTCTGGCTCATGAACCTGGTTCTGCTCCAGCCAGGGGATATGCACACCTTCCCCAGCTGTGCCTTCTGGAGCTGTAGCGGCCTCAAGCTGCTGGGGTGAAAGAGGGCTGGTAGTCCTCTCTCCCCAGGGCAGCCTGCATCCTGAACCTCTCCTCTCCAACCCCACTCCAGAGCAATGGTTTAAATGGAAAAAAAGAAAAGAAAAGAAAAAATAACTGAGTTAAGGACTTGAGCAACCCTGGGCAATTATTGTGATATATAAGTGAGAATGTACTTAGGGTTTCAATTCCAACTAAATAACCTCTGTCCTTTTGTAGTTGTGTTCATGTCTGGGTCTCTTCCCTCCAATTCCTGTTGGAAGCAGTAGTGAACCATGTATTTCCTGCTCCATCTCAACATTCAGTTATCTGATGAGTCATTATTTCAAATACATTAGTCCTACAAATTCATTTTTGAAGAAAATGTCACTTTGATTCAGGGCCTTGCATAAAGTTCTTCCTAACCTAGGTTTTCCGAAATGAAATTCTTTGCAGACTGTTTGTAACCTGCCACAATTCAGAAGTAAGGTTGCACAAAGTAAATTTTTTTATAGTTGTTATAGTAGCACAATTCTGTGTTAGTTATTTACATTCATATCTGCTGTGATTGAGAACAAAAGGTCCATTGTAAACTAGAGTCTAATCAATAGTGAAATACACAAAAAGACAGGGAAGAATTATTGTTTCTTAAATGTATGTGTCCAATTGTATGTTTATTCTCAGATGTTTAAATTCACTTCACTTCTGAGTCAAAGGTCATTCTGAAATTCTTCATATTTATTTTCACAGTATGATGGAATAATCAGAATGGGCTGGTGTTTCTATGTGATAGATCACGTTAACTTACATTACAAACAATCCCTTAGCTTTATCAGAGGTGAATTTTGAAGGAATAATAGCATAAAGCTAAGAGCCTTTTGCCAATAAAT